AAATATTCAAGTTCATTGAAGTTCAGGATGGCTACTTTAAGAAATAGTCCTATTACCACCACATATTATAAATAAAATCAGAGGCTAAGAAAGCTGTAGCCTCCCCTAAGTGGACTTGCCAGTCAACACAGCCATTGAAGTATGCAATAAGATATCAGCATAATGAAATATGCATTCTCTCTCCTGAAATGTCATATATAATGATATAGAGCATTGGCCCCCAGTCTTTGGGGCACCAAGGACTAGTTCCATGGAGAGAGGTTTTTCCATGGACCGGAGGGGGCGTGGTTTCGCATGCTGCCTGCATCCTGCGGATGGGGCTTTGCTTGTTTGCACGGCCCAGTTTCAGGTATGCCTCAGACCGGTGCCGTCCACGGACCAGGGGTTGGGTTGGGGATCCCTGATATAGAGTATAATTATGTAGTTCCTAATTCTTTTTTGGGGGAGGAGTGGGTGTGCAAGAAAGCTATACTTCTCTAAATTTGTTCCCTATATGAAAGACGAAGAAGATCAAGAGCAATTAATAAATCACAAATCTCAATAAGGCTTATGTGAAGCATTTTCTGAAACTGAAGCTTAGAAGACATGCTAATTAATTTTTTTCCTGCAAGTTAAAATTAAGTGAAATCAAAACCAACAGCTTAATCTTTGTACTATTGATCTCCTAATGAATGTAACACATGGACTGTGGTATTCCCTTGAATAAATCTGTTGATTTGATTTGATATTAATTCCTATTTTTATAGGCTTGGTTACTCTGTGCTTGGAGAAAGGGCTTAAGCCTCTCTATAACAGAAATAGAAATAGAAGTACTGAAACTTGAATACTAAAACATGAATACTATAATTAACGTTTGCTAAAAAGAAGTACCATTAAATGGACTTTTACTGTAACTTTCAATTTCAATATTACATTGCTTGAAATAAGGCTAAACAATAGTGTGTCTTACATGGGAATATTGCCTGGCTTGCAAAATGGCACAAATAAGGTAAGGAGGCGTTCTGCATCGTTGTGTGTATCTGGCACAGGTGTATATATTGAAAGATTAAAGAGCCTAGTCAATAGTTTTATTTAAAACATTTAAAGCTGTTTTTTCTAACTGCCAAGGCAAAAAAATAAAAATAATTTAATAAAAAATAGTGTACATGCAGCCAAAGCCACCTACCGAGCTTCATAACAGCTGGATTTGAACCTGGGATTTGAGCAATTCTTGTCCAGCACTCTAATCTCTATACTAAGAGGATAGGCAATGTTGTGGTCTATTCCAGTCCTGTGTTTCTCAGATTCATCGCACTAAAGTTAAATAAACTAGTAGTCTCCTTTGTTGTATAGCAACTTCATATTATCATGTTTGAGTGAATCAATCCTACGTTTTAGTAGCTGTAGTCTGTTGTGCTGTGAAACTGTAATATTGTTTTCAATTGTGTAGTTCTCTTACAACTATGCAAATTCAGAAGCTCCATTTGCCTGTTAATCAAAAGCATCCAGTGATGATTGCTCTGCTCAGGACACAACTCAAGTTGCAGAAGTGAGGCTGCGCCAGGTTTTTGACTGTGATTATATAACTGTTCCAGGGGAAACAGAAATGTACAAACAGTCCTTTCTATTACACTTTGATGTGTTGTCGCTGTGCTTTAGTTCAAGCTAACTTTAGATGCAAGAGCCTAGCAAATATTAACTCTGAGGGAATAAGGTTGGGCTGTTGAAAAATTTCAGATTAAACATGCCCTTGTCTAGTAATTTAACTGTATCAGTTTATGAGATATATACTTGAAATTTTCCTTCTTTTTAAAAAAAACACCCTGATTGCATTTGAGGTCTTTTTAAAATGGGACATTACACTGTTCCACTGAGAAACTATATCTTTGATATCGATAGAGGCATTGGATAGGGCAGGTAGGAGGGAGAGGAGAGGGAGGGGGGAAGGAGGGATTGGTTCTTAGTTGGAAGCTTTCCAAAGTTGTTTGGGAAGTGGATGACCAATAAATTAAATAAATGGTCTGCCAGTTATAAGGAGTAGACCCCCTTAAAGTTTAGTCATAGGGTATTTGATTTTTGGGTTCATTTCAAGTTAATGGATGACCATATGACCATGGGGATGCTATAATGGTTGTAAGTGTGAAAAATGGTCATAAGTCACTTTTTTCAGTGCCATTGTAACTTTGAACAGTTACTAAATGAATGATTGTAAGTTGACCCTACCTATACTGCACCAATAATTTAGAATACTGCATCCAGTTCTGGTCACACCAATACAAAAAAGATATTGAGATTCTGGAAACAGTGCAAAGAAGAGCAACAAAGATGATTAGGAGTGTGGAGGCTAAACAGCATGTGAATGGAACTAGGTATGTCTAGTCTAGCAAAGAGAAGGGCTAGAGGTGACATGATAGCAGTCTTCCAATAGCAACTGCCTCAGAGAGGAAGGGGTTGACCTCTACCCAAAGCAGTGGGTAGAAGATTATCGAAGAGAGATCCAGCCTATTAATTTTCAGACAGAATAATTAATCAGTGGAACAGCTTGCCACCAGAAGTTGTGGCATGGTCCATCACTGGGGGTTTCCAAGAAGAGATTGGACAACCATTTGTCCAGAGTAGAATAGGGTTTCCTGCTCGAGCAAGGGATTGGACTAGAAGACCTCCAGCGTCCCTTCCAACTTCATTATTCTGTGACTTCGATGACTTTTTTCCTTTCTCCTGCTCCCACTCATTTTTATATGCTGTGTGGTTCGTTTCATGCAGTCTACAATCTTCCCCTTCCTAATTGCGCATCACTAAATTATTTTAAGCCTCCCCTGCCAGAAACCCCCACATTGGTTCCAGTCGTGCCTTTTAGTAGCTTTGGAGTTAATTGTTGCAACCACATATCTTCTGTGGGATACTTTAACCTGGCATCATTCCCCTGATATCTGAAATAGATTGAGCACTAGCAGCCTATGCACTTTACCTTTGCCTTATCGGCAAAGGAAGAAAAAAAACCAAAAACATAAAATAATTTATATAGTGCCGTCTTGTGGCACGAGGAAATCAGCTCCCCTTTCTTTTATGATCAATCTCATAAAATATAGACAAAATGAACTGCAATTTTTTTTTGAAAAGGGGAAAACAGAAAAGTAAACTTTCTTTTTTTTAAAAAAAAAAACTTTAGCCATGTGCAGAACAATCGCATGGAGGGACTAAAAACAGGGCATAGACAAGGTCATATTCAAAAGTTACCCCATTCCTATAAGAGTGATAAAGTCATTTGTGTTCCATTGGGATTGTTTGAAGTTCTAATTTTTGGGTAATTGTAGTTTGGATGGAAATCTAAACAGCAATTTCTACTATTTGTTTACCCTTTGTTTTCTTGATAGATTTAAAGTTCTGTGTGGGCATTCCCTTTTCATATTTAACAATTGCACTGGTTCAGCCAGCCCTTCATCCTAGCTAAAAGTGTGTTTGGTAAGGCAATATTTGTAAGCTCCTGTTATATATATGCAAATTCTCCCAGTGATGTGAACATGTGAACAATGAGGCTACAACACAGGGAAAAGAAGATCTTTGCATTAGTGCCTTTGTATTATATTCATTTCCTTTTAACGCTCATTAGACCCTCTAAAACAGGGGTAGTCAACCTTGGCTCTTTTATGACTCGTGGACTTCAACTCCCAGAATTCCTGAGCCAGCACAGCTGGCTCAGGAATTCTGGGAGTTGAAGTCCACGAGTCATAAAAGAGCCAAGGTTGACTACTCCTGCTCTAAAATAACATCATTGTTGTTGTTGTTGTTGTTGTTGTTGTTATTACTATTATTATTATTATTATTATTATTATTATTATTATTATTATTATTATTATTATTATTATTATTATTATTATTATTATTATTATTTTGAAGGAAACAAGAGAAAACTGGCATGCTGCAAAGCAAATCATCTGCCTCTAGTGATTTTTATTTCCAGGAATGCCCATAACTTTAGCCATGTGCAGAACAATCGCATGGAGGAAATAAAAACAGGGCATAGACAAGGTCATAGACAAGAGAATTGCCAATGGAAAAAAACTACAATTCTGAGTAGACTATGAAATGATATTGGACAATTACTTAAGACATACAATTGCTAAGCATCCATCAGAGAAATACATATCAGGGATAGTGGAGACATAAAACCTACTCCTATGTGTTCTCAATTAAAATTAACCTTATGCAATATTTCTAGCTCAAACTTAATACATATTCCTTGGAAATAAGCAGATTCTTGAAGTAAACATTTCTTGCTAGCCTTTCTGGATCTTTCAGATTTGTGTAGATTGAAACTTAATTAGTGTAATATTTCTTAGTTCCATTCCTAGTCCTGGTACATGGCTTATTTCTTGGATTTTAAAGGTAAAGGTTTTCCTCTACAGAAGGGATGGGAGCTGGGGGCTGAAGGAATCTCTTTTTGCTATGTGCCAAGGTAAGCATCCTTCCCTCCAGAATGGCAGTGTCCTGATAGGGATCTATCTGACAAAGAGGTTCCTATTGGAGGCAGAGGAATGTGCTTTGAGGAAGTTTGTGGTCTATGGGACATGCATCTGATAGTCTGGAATACTTAAGCACAACAGGGCTCGACATAGAAGAGCCAACAGTATAATGTTCTAAAGATAACATATTGGGTAGTACTTCTTTTACTAAAGTGTAGCATGGGTACAAATCGATTTCCTTTTAGATGTTAGATTACTACTGATAATGCTGCCTGGGATTGTTGAGGACAGAAGGTCAAACAAAGTCTAAAAGATTACTGAATGCTGATGTACAAACAGTGCCTACAAACTAGAGTGTTGCTCGTGGAAAATGCTAGGGCATCATCATTTGCATTTAGTTTGGCAATTTATTTTGTATTTGGTTCTGATTTGAATTCTAGAAAAGCAACTTGATTCAGTATCTTCTTATATGATTGAGAAATAAAAGCTGTATGATTATACTTGTATAAGGATTTCTTAGTCTTCGATTAACATACTGTTCCTTTGTTTTTTAGATTCAATGGCAGACCCAAGAGGTTGTTCCAGTTCTTGACATACCTATATCTGGGATCATGGATTTGCTCAAATTTACCCTGCAAACTTTATTCAAAAAATAATATTTGCCTCTTACGGTTTGATTTATTCACTGGTTGCAATAATGGCCAGCAAAAGGAAATCTACAACACCTTGCATGATACCAGCAAAAATATTGGCACCACAGAAATCCACTTCTGTTGGAGTAAATCATGAAGGAACTCATCAAACATTTGTTCCCAGTTCTCTGCCTAATTGTGATACCACTATTATTAATCACGGTTGTGGGACCTTGTCCAATGGATACAATGGAATTATAGACAACACTTCTTATAGATGTACAAGTTGCAATTTCTCTAGTCAAGAAATTAATCAGTTCCTTAGTCACCTTGATTCTGACCACATAGACTTTAGTAAAGACCCTTCCTTTTTGTGTGTGAAATGCAATTTCTTGGTAAAGAGCCATGATGATCTTTCTCATCACAATGCAGAGCACCATGTTGGAGAAACAAACTTAATCTGGAATGTAGTGAAACAAGCTAACCACATGATTGTGGAACAGACTACTGGAAATATCACCAGTGGTAGTCAGGACCACTTGGGGGATATTCCTGAGGAAAATCAGGATAGTCAAGCTGAAATTATTATTACCAAAACGCCCATTATGAAGATAATGAAAACAAAACCAGAAGTTAAAAAAATTCACACACTGAAAGAAAATATATCTGGTAAATCAATCAGGGATGTAGAGACAAAAGGTGAGCTGTCATTTACCAATGGATCAGTGCCGGTTAGCCAATCTGTCAAATCAACCTCTGTTGTCAATGGGTCAGTAGTTGGAAATGTACCTGTTTTACAAGCAGGCATAACCCAACTTGTGCAACTGCAACAGCAAGCACAAGTTCACCAGCACCTGCCAACATCAAAATCCCTCCCTAAGGTAATGATTCCCTTGAGTAGTATTCCAACTTACAATGCAGCAATGGATTCTAACAGTTTTCTTAAAAACTCTTTTCATAAGTTTCCTTACCCTACCAAAGCTGAACTTTGCTACTTGACTGTTGTGACCAAGTATCCAGAGGAGCAGCTGAAAATTTGGTTTACAGCCCAGAGGTTGAAACAGGGTATTAGCTGGTCACCTGAGGAGATAGAAGATGCACGGAAAAAAATGTTTAACACTGTGATTCAGTCTGTTCCCCAATCCACTATTACAGTGTTGAATACACCTTTAGTTGCAAGTCCTAGTAGTGTTCATCATCTCATTCAGGCCAGTTTGCCTGGTCATTCAGTTGGAAAGCCTGAAGGAGCAAGTGGTATGCTGGTCACCCAACCAATAATAACTAATGGACTTCAGGGAACAACTTCATCTCATGCAATAGCTGTAAACTCCATTCCAAAGACCCAGATAGCTAAGCCTCCAACCACTGTGTCAGTTTCCAGTATTGCATCAACTGTGAAGGTAGGTAGTGCTGCTCAATCACAATTTTCTGCTTGCCCAAACATCTCTTCACAAGCATTCTTGGATCCTAACTTATTGAAAAATAAGAAGTCTTATGAACAGTTGTCTGCACTGAAAGATAGTTTCTGTAAGAATCAGTTCCCTGGCCAAACTGAAGTTGAGCGTCTGACAAAAATGACAGGACTTAGCATCAGGGATGTTCGAAAGTGGTTTAGTGATAGGAGGTATCACTATAGAAATATAAGAGGCAACAAATATGTGCTCGGTGGGGATAGCACAATAATAATAGACTCTGTACCCGAAATTACCTTTACCACTTTGCCAAAAACAACCACAGAGTTAACTTCCACATCAGCAGCAACACCTGTTCACACACCAGCACGTCGGCAATCCTGGCACCAGACCCCTGATTTCTCCACTGCAAAATATAAGGAGAGGGCCCCAGAACAACTCAGAGCTTTGGAAAGCAGCTTTGCACAAAATCCCTTCCCTTTAGAGAAGGAAGTAGACCGTCTGAGAAGCGAAACTAAAATGACAAGGAGAGAGATTGACAGCTGGTTCTCAGAGCAAAGGAAAAGACAAGCGGACAAAAAAAGAAAACGACCAGCGGACGAGGATGCTGAGGAAGAGTCCATAGAAGAGGAGGAGGATTTGGATGACTTCAGAGCGTCAAGTGAAAATGGTTCCCTGGATGAAGCTGGGAGTTCTCAAATACCAGGTGAACGTAAAGTGACCCCAATAAAAATCAACCTTAGAAACTTTAAGGTGACAGAATCAGAAGGGAAAAGTGAGTTGGCAGCTTCGGGTGCCCAAGCAACAAGGGAGAATTCTCCTAGCAGGGCACAGAAACCCAGGCTCAGCTTTAAAAAGACTGCTCAGCAGAGGCATTTGCTTAAGCAATTGTTTGTAAAGACACAACGTCCTACTAATGAACAGTATGACCAAATATGTTGTCAGACTGGACTTCCCAGGGTTGAAGTAATTCGCTGGTTTGGAGACAGCCGCTATGGTTTAAAAAATGGAAATCTGAGGTGGTATGAAAACTACAAAAAAGGTATTTTCCCCAAAGACCTATCAATTTCCAGCGAGGTCAGCCAGGAAGTCCTCCAAGACTATTTTCAAAAGAACAAAGTTCTATATGAAGATGATCTCCAAGATCTCTGTGAAAGAACTCAGATGACCACCTCGCAGGTTAAATTGTGGTTTGCTGAAAGGCTAGGGGAAGAAAGCAAAGGATCTGATGCAGGCAGTGATAGTCAGTCCCCAAGTGTTGGTGATCCAGCCAATAGTCAAAAGGAAACTTACGATACTTTTTCTGAAGTTTCTGAGAACAGTGAATCTTGGGAACCTGGAGGTCAAGATGGAAGCTCAGAATTTGGAGATACCGAAAGTCATCTGCCTGCAATACATTCTGGTGAGTGGTTTTGCATTTTTTCATTAATGTTTTTGTTAACGTGGCCTTATTTTTTGTTAAACTACTACATAGGAAATGTATTTAAACAAAACAGTGGGAAAATGAACCAAAATAATATTATTAGATAACTTGCTGCTCCTTTTTTAAAAAGGATGAATAGGAAAGAGGAATGAGAACAGGATCCTAAGCTATCTTAAGACATTGCTTTTTTTATATGGTTTATGATTATTTTCTGTCATGCTGAATGGAGAGCAATAAAAGTTACCCCATTCCTATAAGAGTGACAAAGTCATTTGTGTTCCATTGGGATTGTTTGAAGTCCTAATTTTTGGGTAATTGTAGTTTGGATCGAAATCTAAACAGCAATTTCTACTATTTGTTTACCCTTTGTTTTCTTGATAGATTTAAAGTTCTGTGTGGGCATTCCCTTTTCATATTTAACAATTGCACTGGTTCAGCCATCTCTTCATCCTAGTTAAAAGTGTGTTTGGTAAGGCAATATTTGTAGGCTCCTGTTATGTATATGCAAATTGTCCCAGTGATGTGAACATGTGAACAATGAGGCTACAACACAGGGAAAAGAAGATCTTTGTATTAGTGCCTTTGTATTATATTCATTTCCTTTTAATGCTCTTTAGACCCTCTAAAATAACATTGTTTTTATATTATTATTATTATTATTATTATTATTATTATTATTATTATTATTATTATTATTATTATTATTATTATTATTATTATTATTATTATTATTATTATTATTATTATTACTATTTTGAAGAAAACAAGAGAAAACTGGCATGCTGCAAAGCAAATCATCTGCCTCTAGTGATTTTTATTTCCAGGAATGCCCATTACACTTTCTTAGAAAATAAAAAAGGTTGGTGAGAACAGCACAGAACCTGGAAATGTACCAGCTTCTCCTCCAAAAAGACAAAAGCAAACTTTGAGCATCTTCAGGAAGGGAAGAATGGATGTCAGGCAACAAAATTATTAGTTTGTCTTCTGAAAAAAATGTCTTTAACTGATCAGGTCCACAGTGACAGGCACTTTAAGTCTATATTATGCTTTCAGCGTGTGAAATGTGTCTATTGGCCCCCAGTAGCATGGAGAATCCTATTCTGTATCTCTCTCCTTGAATGGTTGTTTGGGAGGGTCAGGAAAACTCTGGGGTTTAGTTGCAGCTTTCCATATGATTGTTCATGTGGCAGGAGTGTCTGAATAGAGACTATATAAAATCAGTAAATACTGTCTGTAGATCATTTGATCCTTAATCTTTAATTTGTGTATTACAATTTGTAATAGCACTTTCTAACAACAATTGAAGTTTCAACTATAGGCGAGACAATAAAAAGAGAAGAGAAAGAGAATCTGGGGTGACATGAATATAAGTTGTTGAATAGTTAGAGAATTCAGCTAGAGATGTAATAACAAAGATGGGTTTTAAGGTAAATCTTGTTGGATAGAAAGAGGACTGCATATAATTCAGTACTGAATTATGGAATTAGAATTGTATAGGATTTAGGATCTGAATTTGAAATAAACAAAGTAGAAATGATCCACTAGTTAAGAGAACCGCAAATATTTAGGGTTTGAAGATGGAAAAGTGAGAAGCAAAAATCAAGCAGGGATTAAAATACACACACACACACACACACACACACACACACACACACACGTTTAGAAACACAGCTGAGAAAAAATAATTTTTAACCACCCCTTCCATAATACGAGGCCTTGGTTTTAAAGCACAATTTTCCATAAACACTCTCTTTTTTCTCAGAGCAGTTGAGGTCATGGTGACTTTTCCCCCCCAGTTGTCTCTCTTGGCCCCTTTGCTTGCTAATTCATCCAATACTGTAGAACATATTGTGACACATGTATATGTTGCTTTCAGAAATGGACTGAACCACCACTGCCTTCGCTTGAACAATCGGCCAACTTTGCAAAAACCTAGCAGCTGTGGGTCACTCTGAATCTTTGTTGAAGATTGTAATGCCAAGATGTTCTTTACGTGAAGCACAATTTGAATTTGGAGGTCGCAGGGAAGACATCAATAGAGAAAACTGTAAGGTTCGGGTTGTGGGAAGTCTAGTATTCTGTTTTATGATTTAGGAGAGTGTTCACCAGATATTTGCCTTCAGGCTTCAATTAGTGGACACTGTCTTTTGAACTTCATATTCATATGGAACCAGCTTGTTAATGCCAGCAACCAGCCTCTCTGCATTGAATCATGCATCTGAAAAATTGTGTTAAACATTCTTTTTTTAATAGAAATGAGCTATCATTTGTACAACATATTCTAAATATTTTCAGTGTTTGTTCTCTGAATGCTCCATCTTTGCATTTACTGTATTCTCTTTACATTTTAATCTCTAGATTTTGCAGATTTTGAAAGTACAGTAAAAACCTTGATCTAACAGGCCTTTTGAGCATAAACAGTGGCTGTTGATATCTGAATTGATGTAATTTGTGATGATGGTTGGTACCTAATTTGTCATTTAGGTAATCTGCGGTATTGGAAATGATGTAAATGCAATCATTTGCAGCAAAATCGCCATTCTGAAGGATTGAAATCACTTTCAAACTGAGAGCCATTGAACTGAGAATTTGCTATACAGTTTGCAGTCTACAGTACTGGCCAAAATTGTGGAAACCTTTTGGGAAAAGTGTACATTTGAGGTTTGATGGCTAATAACACCACTTTTTTTGGAGTAGTACCATAAAATTATATATCAATGGAAAGATAGTTTAATCAAGAATGTAATGCAATAACTTTTATGAAGGATTTGCTATTAGAATAGCAGTTATAAAGAAGAAAAGTGAAACACGTAAAAAAACAAGATATACAAAAATTATCACCATGTCAGTTAATACTTAGTTGGGTAACCTTTAGCATGAATTACAGCCTTACAACGTTTTCCCATGGAGTGAACCAAGTCATTTAGTTCTGCAGCTGTTATAATGTGAAACCAATATTGAATGATTGCTTCTATTAACTGGGTTTTATTGCTGGGTCACTTCTGACTAACAAGTTTCTTTAGTCAGTTCCATAGATTTTCAATTGGTTTAAGGTCTGGGCTATTCCCAGGCCATTCCAGCAGTGGAATATGATTATCGTGAAACCACTTTTTGCACAGAGAAGCAACATGACATGGAGCTGAATCCTGTTGAAATATAAATGCTTCATTGTCTTGGAAAAGATCATGTGCAGAAGGCTTCAGTTTGGGCTCAAGTATTTCATTAATGTAGCTTTGGCCATTTATCACACAAATTCTGCCCACACCTTTTGATGTCATACATCCCCAGATCATAACACTGACTGGGTGTTTCACGGTACATGTAATGCAATCAGGATGCAAATCTCCGATTCTTCTCCTTACGTATTTTATGCCATCACTACCAAACAGGAAGATCTTGGTCTCATCACTCCAAATAAACACCGTCCCATTGTTCCTCTGTCCAGGTAACATGGTTTTAGCCCAGTTTAGTCTTTTCAACCTTTGTTTGAGAGATAAAAGTGGCTTTTTTCGTGGAATTCTAGATTTTAAGCCAAATTCCTGCAGTCTGCGCTGAACAGTCCTTGCATTCAACTTCACATTGCACTGCGCCATTTCATCTTGTATTCACCCAGATTATTTTCTTCTGTCATATAGGCACAGTCTCTTAATTCTTCTACCATCACTTGCTGTTGTGCACCATTTCTTGCCTTTACCAGTGTGGTTTTGTAGTGACCAAGTCTCCTTATACCTCTTCAAAAACTTAGAAATGCCACCTTTGGTTAAGTTTCCACCAATTTTTCTTCTAATTTCTTTGTAACTGTAGCCTTGTTCACTTAATAATACTATTTTACATCGCTTTCTGGGCGACCAGTCAACTCTTTGCACCATGACTTTAATTTTATTACATTTTACAAGTTCACTAAATGAAAGAACACAAAAAAAACCCCAACCAACTTGATAGCGATCACATAACACACTGACAAATGTCCTCCTCTCAGCTTCAATACATGACATCAATAACTGAATCCTACTGTGATCTGATTAGCTCATTGCCAAAACAAGATGATATCTGATTGGCTCTCTAAACATTCATGCTCATTGGCTACAATCAGATGAAGGAAAGCTACCTGAAATCAACCTAAGCAAGTTGTGCTTCCTTTTTCTGGTTATGTGGCTATAACTTTTCGTAGAATACAGATAATTGAACAAACTTTGTTGCATTACATTTTTGATTAAATTATCTTTCCTTTGATATATAATTTTATGGTACTGCTCCCAAAAAAGTGGTGTTATTAGCCATCAAACCTCAAATGTACACTTTTCCCAAAAGGTTTCCACAATTTTGGCCACTACTGTATGCTCACTTCTCCAAGAGTAAATCCCAAAAAATCAATGCAGCTTCCTTACATACAGTGGTGTTATATATGTCACTAGACAATCTGTGACCTATTGTGTCATCCTTTGCAAGAAAGGTGGTACAGCCTTGTATGACCAGAATAAGCATTAAATTTTAGGTTGACCATATATTTTTTACCCCAGTGCTAGATGGCTACATGATCATTTAAGAAGAAGATAGTAAAATAATTGTAGTTTCAAATGAACTTCAATAAATCAATATTTACTTACCTAAACAGATAGTCATAATGACCACAGGAGGGCAAAAAAACGGGGATCTCAGGAAAAACTTTTGACTTCATGCCATCTTCCCCACCGACTTTGCTTGTGGGAAGCTGGCAAAAAGTCAGAAATCATGATCAAATGATGCAGGGATTCTGCAATAACACAACTTTGTGAATAAAACGGTCTGAAATCATGGACATTTCAATTCCACAGGAGTAAAGACTTCTGCATTATTTTACATTACATTATTTAATTTAACAGATTTAGGTACCTTGATTTAAAAACTTGTATAATGCACGATTTGGGCTAACTTGAGTGTACAGACAAAGAGATAAATGCAATGAGAGTTTTAGTAGTGTACAGATAGGGAAGGCTCTGGTGAATAGTATTTCTAATTTCGTGCATAAAATTACAAAATGAAATTGGGTACTATAACAATCTTCACCAAATTTCATGTGCATAGAAGCAAATGAATGCTTCTTTTAATGCATTCCAGAAACCAAAAGGGTTGAAATTTAGGTCTTTTGTGTGTGTGAGAGAGAAAACAACACATCATAAAAATAAAAACACCCTTGTGGATGTCATCTATTAGCAGATGTTCATTAACCATGAGCGCTGTAAGATTTTCTGATTTGAAAAGGCACCCCTTAATCCCCAAATTTAGTTATTAACTTTGCTGAGTTTTCAGGATTGTAAATGCTAAACTGTGCCTGTTTTATAATTAATTGCAAATACATTTACTAATTTTATCAGTACTGTAACAGGAAAATATAACCCCCTCAAATAGCTGTGATCAGGAAGGCATTTAGTTTGCAGTTCACACAATTTCTTTTTTTTACATATAGATCAGAATTGTATTGGATTCCAGCAATTTGCATCACAAAAGTGCTGTCTGTATTTCTAACCTTTACTGCTTTTTCTAGCTATTCATAAGCTAGAAAAAAACCTGAAAAGCTTCAAGCTTTGCTAAGTTCATAATACACTCAAACATATATACCTGTAATAGGCATGCATTTTTGTCTTCACTATTCATTATTTTGGAAAAATACTACTAAATTATTTTAATAATGTGGAAAGTTAGAATATAACATGCTAGGGCTAATTACTGTTGGTAAGAAATATTTTAGATGGTTCATTTGGTGGCATTACATTTTCCCAGAGTTCTAGTGGGTAGAGCCTGGAAAACTTGCTTTTGGTCAGATCCATCTCCTGATGGTCTTCCAAAGGCAGTGTGAGATACCAACTCTCATGCTGGGGTTGTATTTGGGATTGAATCTTGTCTGTTTTTTCCCAAAAGGTTAACTTGCCCTAAATCGGCTTCTACAAACCCTGGAAACATTCTAAATATATGTTCAAATTCCAGATTTTCCTGGCCAGCATGACCATTGCTGAGAATTCTGGGAGTTGTAATCCACTTATTTGAGTCTAGGGTAGTTTTTCCCAGATTGGTACTATTAGTTGGAGAAGAGGTGAGTTCTAATACAACCTATTTGGGGGAGGGGGCATCAGATGGGAAAAGGTTCTTGTATTTGTCTTTTTTAGAATTTTTCTCAAGAAGCTTTAGGATGTCTTATGCAAACCTACATGTGTACAATATATTATTGGCCACTGAGTTCAGTTTAGCAAGGGACTGTCAGGATGGAAATAAGTATGCTAAAACTTATTTAAAATTTTTAATATGCCACCATTGATGCTGCAAAACCAGAAAGTGTGCATGTATGCACATACACTGTTTCAGGTATAAAAACTTTATATTCTTCCATGTTTGATGTCACTTCTCCTAATCTGTCTTTCAAGGGAAAAAATGATTTGTTCAAATGCATTTTAATTTGGCTTTCTTTAATTGCATAGATAAATCCATATGCTGAAAGAAGAATATAATTGTAGCTCTCCTCCATACCATGTTTAAAAGCTATCCATGGCTCACAAATGTCTTTCTAGAAAGGCGACTTGTAATCTGACATTTATTCTTGAGGGAACCAAACTAGCATGCACATATTTGAGAACAAAGAATTTGGCTTCTAAGACTGTGGGAAGGCTCCAGAAGATTTCTTGTATTGCAGGAGTGCCAATATGTACCTGTTACTTCTATTGGCTTTTTTCAAAATATGTGTTACTTGTAAAATTGAAAACAACTTTGCTCAGAGCAAGTTACCCTGGTTAATGGATAGGAGCCGGAATAGTAGGAGGTGGGACCCAGTTTGGTTTTACAGGAAAGCCATCAGAGAACAACTACAGACATTTGTGAGCTATTTCCACTGTAATGACAACAGAGCTGCAGTTTCCAAACGAAAAAGCAATGTTGGTCAGTTCAATGGAATTGATAGAGGAGCAGTTCTCTTTTCTCTCTCCAAACATGCTGGTTTGTTTTCAATATGTACAAAGTAAATACATATATTCAATTAGTTTATTCATAGCATCCATATAAAAATCATACATATACAGATGACTGTGTAATTGGGAAATCCACTCAACTCTTTGAGGATGCATTTTGGATGCACTTAAAGCATTGCAAGCATGTTCAAATTAGCTATCTCTCCATTTTATTCAAGGAAGGCAGCATGGTGCTCAACCTGGTTTATTTGGAAAACAAGAGCCATTGATATTGGAGCAACTCAATTTCTCATGTTGGTTGGATCAAAGCGGCCAGGCTTTATGGCAAATTTAAAACCATGTGCCTGAATTGCAGGACATAAATTTCTGCCAGAACAGATCAGAGTGAAGATAACAAACATAATTAAATGGATATCTGTCTTACGGAAGTATCAAAGTATTTCTGGCATAGGGAAGTCTGTCATGTGCTTGCTTGTGATAAAGTTGCCACACAATGGAAGTAATAAATCAGTAGTACAGCCACTTGCTTACATGTAACAACTAGTTTTGATCCTAAAACAGTGCAGAGTCCAACAGTGGCACTGCCCTAGGTTGAAATGCAGTCTGATAAATTGGATTCACTGAATAAACAAATGTACACATTATGATGGATAGGATACATTTACTTGAAACAATAACTTATTTCTTACAT